CTACAGAAAAATGTCATCCCTGGAGTAATCTAAAGGCTGCATGCACTGTCAACCTATATGGATGATTTTTTAGGTCTGTGTAAAAAAATGTCAGTACAGTACTATGATTATTGAAAAGACTTAGAAATTCTATTATGTTTCTATAAGAAAAAGGATACAGCTCATACTCTAAAACTGCTATTAGTGCATTGACTCACAGCAAATCCTAACTACTTGCTCCAATTAACATTCAGATGGAATAAGTTTGTGAAGAATGTCTCATCAGTGTCTCAGTGCGTCTGTCTCGTCAGTGTGACCGTTCCTGTGAAGGGCTTTTCAAACTAAGAGTTTGCTGCAGTGTAGTAACTGCTTGGTCCGAGTCCAAAAGCTACAGAAAATGGGACTGTATCACTCTGACATCACACTGAAAGTGGAGTGTGACTCATAATCAAATTATCATCGAAAGATTCCTCTTCAGTTGAAATATGTACCATAATTTTCTGGTTAATGCCACACAAACTAGCTTTTTGCCTTTTGGTGATGATAACATTTCTGCTATTTTTGGATTTTATTACCCTACAGTACACTACTCTGCTCTTGGCTGGTGTGGGCACTGCTGACGTCATGCTCAGAGTTATTGTGCAGCAAGTCAGACAGAACGTCAATAAATTCATTATGTAATGGACTGTCCTGTGAAGGATGTACTCGTTAGTCAACAGTTTTATTGCTCCTTTGTAAGGGCATTAAATTAACAGAAATCAGAGGTTCTTTCTTGTCTGTTTTCGTGCCAGTATCTCTAAAAAAACTCAAAACCAAAAACAAAACATTTATTGTTTGTATGGAAAGTTGAAACTAAATGAAAGGGCTTCTGGATGTTTGGATGCATGACAATTAAATGGGTGGCCAGTGGGTGTTTGCCTGTGCACTGTCGAATATCTAGCCTCTCCTTAATGAAGCAAAACTGAACTGTGCATAGACTGAAGACTTACGTTAAATTTAGAGTTGAATTTATGGCACCTTCGGGCGAGTATCTAGACGGCTGCCAAATGTGACAGATAGCTGGGTTTTGACCCCTGAAGTGAGAGAGTCAAACAGATATCTGCTCACAGCAGAGGAGAAGAGACCTGACTGCAGACAATACAGACAGGAAATGCATCTTGCTATTAAGATTATTGCAATGGGATGAAAAGAGTGTCCCTACGGCTGAGTCATATCACTCCAAATATGACTGCAACTTTCACGTTCTTTTCTTTTGTGTGGAATTAGGAACACAAATATCCCACGTTTATGTGTCTGTGTGTGTTTGGAGATGGATGAAGACAACAATACTGTAATATTAGCTGTTAATAAACTACTGAGTATTTTAGCCTGAAACAGAAACCTCAAAAGCGAAATGTCTAAACTGAAACAAATCCAGTTGGACCTGCTCTTTGCAGCAAACACTGTACGTCCACGGAGGTTGCTAACCGCACAGTGCCACACACAGTGTAGAGTGAAGCAGTAATAATAGGCTCCTCTCGCTGGAGCAGAATCATGATGATCAGTGAGAGAAATCGATGCTGTTTTGTTGAGGCATTGATCCCATTTGTGATGAGAGAGATTAAAAGAGAGCAGAGGGCCCCTTTGTAAAGTCACCCCACATTACTGCTCACATTTGTCTCCCCATTGATCAGAGCCTGTTTTCAGTCTTTTACACACTGTATTTACTTATCAACGTTAGAGAGTGTTACTGGGGCCGAGGGTTTTCAAATAGGGTGTCAGGTTCATTGTCATCAGTCAGTGCTCCATTTTTTTAGGATCCAGAGTAGCAGCAATACTAAAGCTTTAATTTGTAAATAGTACCTACAGCAGTCTTTTGTTGTTAGACGTGTAGACCCTTTTAGAGCCGAGTCACAATGACGTCAGTTTGTGAGCTGGAGGCAAACACGACTCGCCACCACAGGGCTATAGGCTACGTGGAAGTCTTAAAATGTCACTTTGTTGTGTTACTGGGAGCCAGAATAGAAGGAGTCATGACTTAAAACATCAATTTTTACCAGCTGCCACTGCCTGTCAACAAAAACAAAGACAACTATGGTTAAATGCAATAAGACAAAAGGATGGACGGAGGCGATCATCAAAAATGCTCACATGTGCGCACACACTTCATATCAGGTTAGGGAAAAAGTATTGGCAAAAAGTATTTCCTGTTGTAGGGATGAATAACATTATGTGTATTAAGGGTTATAATGTCCATCTAATCAGAAATTGGGGAGGTATTAAGAGGAATATTGGATTTCTCTTTAACGCTAACTTTTTAGCTTGCATTAGCTTTGAGGAAACCATTCAAGAGTCGTCCTCCTTTGTAAGACTGGCATAGTTATCAACCACGAAGCTTCCTGTGACATCATCCATCCACTGAGTGAGAGCATACGGGTCGGCCAGTCCGGTCCCGTTGGTCAGTGTTTACTTTTTCAAGTAACATTCATGGTGCCAGAAAGTTAGTGACCTGACATGATGCGCTCATAAATTCAGTCTGACGCCCTACACTAAAATGAGAGCCCTGTTGGTCGAAGAAACAGAGTTTTATATTTCTATATAAATTAAAGAATGGTTAGGTTAATCACACATTCACTCTGCTTGGTTCTCTGCTGAGTACCCAGAGTGCACTCTGCCACTCCGAGAGTGCAGTGCTCTGGATAACCAAACGATACATTCAGACAGTGCTCCTAATTTAAAAATGGCCCAGTTTGTGCCAGAGTGGGCCCCGCCACTCGGAATGATTATTTCCAAAAACACCACTTGCATCATCTTTCTCCATTGTGTAAAACAAGCCAACAGAACTTGCCAGCTAGCACCAGCCAATGTCTGTGGAGAATTGTTTTGCCTCCAGCTAAGCCCCGCCCACCAAAAACGTCATACTGTAACTCGTGTTGTGTATGTTTAGCTTGTGTCTAACAGCCTTTAAAAGTGTCATGATCATCTATATGTTTAACATTCCATATGTCCGGCAGTCATTCAACAACAATTCACTGATTAACAGTCCGCACTAATGAAGCCACAAGCTTAATGTTGCTCCATATTTTAATTTGACACTTTACCATTTGCCAGTGGAGGCACATTTAGAGGACATGAATCCTAAAACACTTCTTGGCTGAGAGTCAGTGTCGGGTGGCTTGGACTACTCAGGGGGAGATATTTTCAAAATGTCATTCTACTTCACTTAAATGAGAGTTGGGTTTTTAGTGAATGGTGATATTAGGAGAGTGAAAAAACACAAATCTGTGAAGGTCATCAGTTCAAACTGTTAGTGAGGAGCAGGAGTGTGTCTTTCTTAGATGGTCTTGCCACTGTGTCTTTGAGCAAAGCCAGATTGTTCTTTGGCTGAAATGCTTTGTTAAAAATAGTAGCTAGAGAGCTTTCTGGAAGAGTCTCTGGCTTGCAAGTCTGGAGCTATATTAATGTTATTAAAGAGGCTGTAATCAATATTTTTTATATTAACAATGGATAACATGACCACTTTCATGTGAAAGATAAGTAACACCTGACTCTGCAGTTCCCCCATCTCTCTACAGTGCTTTATAACATCCCATAGCTCAGTGTTTGAATTCTCAGGCCCGTGACTTTTCTGTTTTGGTTCATTCATGTTGTTTCCAGCCACAGTGGACAGCTGCATCCAGTGAAAAGCTCTAAAAACCAGCTTTACAGTAAATTAGATAATAGCTCACGACAGGCTGTGGTGGGTTGTGATTATATCACAGCTAAGGGGGTTGTCGGGGGTTATCGTGAAGTGAATGGTTACCAATGGTTTTATAAACGACACATTCCAATTTAAACCTTTTTTAGTGACATGTTCATAAAGCATTCAAAAAGCATTGTTTTTACAAAGACATAGCCCCCCTGGCTGACAGTGGAAGGTATGCAGTGTAGCTCATTTTACTATCAATCCGCCTCTCTCCTCACTGCTAGCAGACTAAGCTAATCGGCTGAAAGGAGAGGGCATGGTAGTTCCATAGATGTACCTTCAGTTAATGGCTGTCACAACTCGAATTCAGCAAGGTGATTTTTCCCCCCAGATATATGCATTGCTCAGTCCACTTCTCCATAGTTACGCCAGCACAGAGGTTGAATTTGACCTCAAATGTTGTCATTTTTTGGCAGTTTGTTGCTACATAACCAGTTTGTTCGGCAAACTTTCCCCCTCATATGTTGAGTTTGCCTGTTATCTGTCAGAATTGTCAACTCGTGACACTCCGTTTTTACTTGGTGGAGTTGGCGGATTCAAAGGTCTGGACCCAGGCAAATGGGGAATGATACTGAACTGTGTAAGGAATTGGACGTAATTGCCGTTGTATGTGGAAACCATGGCTAACAGCCAATCAGATTGCTTGATTTGAGCTTTAGAAACTAGCTGGTGACTAACTCCAAATGAATACTAATGGTGCTTTGTATCTGCTGGATTTGTAAATAGGCAACTGTTTGCTAAGTTAAGTTTGCTAAGGTGATATTGTTTTGTTCACAGCTTGTTAATGCTGCCCCCTACTGGTCTGATAAAAAAAAAAAAACCTGTTACTGCAGGTTTAAATTGTGTCCCTAAAGAGCTTTGTGAAGATAATCTCGAAAATTCAGTGTGACAAAAGACTTGTTTGTTGGCTATCAGATAAAAACTTGATGAGGGGACAGGCACTAAAAATCATCTCCTTTAAGTGACCAATGAGATAAACTCCCAAAATGTTGGCGTAGTCTGAGATACCAAAACATGCAACCATTTACATACATATGCAAATGCACAGATGTGAGGCAAGTGCGTAGGTGTTGTTGAGACACATATGGGACACATATGACATGGGAGGTTTGAGCATCAAACGCTTAATTTCCTGCATCCTGGTGAATTTTTATGCACCACTTTATGGTGAAAATGTCTTTAATATTAAAGGGCATCTTCTCAGTACTCTATGCCTATGATGTGAGCTAAGTAATTTTATACTGAGGCATAAAAAACAGAAAAACAATCAGACCCTTCTCTCTCTTTATCTTCGCAGGCAGTATTGTTTACTTGGGGATGATGGTTGGAGCGTTCTTCTGGGGAGGGATGTCTGACAAAGTGGGCCGCAGACAGTGCCTCCTCATTTGCATGTCCACCAACGGCTTCTTCGCCTTCCTTTCGTCTTTTGTCCAGGGATACGGTCTCTTCCTCCTGTGCCGTCTCATCGCAGGCTTCGGGTAAGTCTGATGAAGTGGAGGTCATTCTGGGGCTGACGAAGATGACAAGCCATCAGTTTGATGATCTGTGAAAAGTCAAGTGAAATGGTTAATACTATGGCACCTCGAAATCTCCTTCTTTGGCAACAGGGTGGTCACACCATCTTAACATAACACAGTAAAATCAGAGTCTGTCTCTCCTAATTATTACTCCCTTTGTTGACTTTCATGGAATAATTGATGAAGTTGTTGAAAAAAGATGAACGCAATTTCCTTAAATGATTGCATAAATCCTGTTCTCTCACTTACTGCTCCTCAGACGGTTTATAGTTTCTGACTCCTTTACCATAGAGGGTTTACTACACATTCATATTCCTATCTAAATGTAATTTTCTCTTGTACACGGCTGCAGCGCAGAGCAGTAAAATATATAAACAGCCAATGTCTGAGATAGCCAGTGACATTCTCACTCCATAAAGAAAACTGCAATATACATTCTTGCAATCTTAAAAATAACCAGAGCGTGTTTCAGTGTGTGAAAATGAAAACTCCACCAGAGACAGATCGTGTGTCAGCCTCTTGCTACGCAGAAACAGAGGGTGATTTATTACACCCTCGTCTCTGGCAGTGTAACTGTTCCTTTAAAAGCTAATTCAGTAATTGCATCTGCATCGCTCTCCCCGGAGACCTCCAGAGTAATTGAAAAGGCTGTCCAAACTGCCAATGCGACCTGTGCTCTGTATCATATGGAACTGGCACTGAGGATTTTCTGTATTACTTTTTTTATGCTCAGTCGTGCTCTTTTTTTTGCTTACTTGGTCTCCTTTGATGTCTTAGCAATGAACCTTCGCCTTCTATTTTAATGGAAAACAATCCAAAAAACACTGAATAAAGTCTGTTAGAATCAAACTGCAATTTATTTGGCAGCGTTTGACTTGTTCTTCTTGAACTCAAGGAACAGAAACAGGCCACAAGCTGAGGGATTAATTCAAAACATGTGAAAGTAAATCTGTGCACAAGATGTTAAACACAAGGATTCCCAAAGTTTAGTTCTGCCCTGGTTTTGTCTCACCCCCACTAACTTTCCCATTCTCTCTGACTCCTGCAGGATAGGAGGCGCTGTGCCCATCGTGTTCTCCTTCTTTGCAGAGGTGTTGTCCAGGGAGAAAAGAGGAGAACACCTCAGCTGGTTATGCATGTTCTGGATGATTGGAGAAATCTATGCATCTGCCATGGCCTGGGCCATCATACCACACTATGGTGAGTTTATCGGTTCTAAAATATTGTAATGAGTACACCAAGATGCAACCAGTGCCAAAAACTGTAGTTCCTCTAATGACCATTTGAGGCTGGCTCCAGAAGCGAGTCAATCCCCAAAGACCCCCATGTTAAAATGCCCGACTTTACAAAAGAAATAAAAAATGTTTACAGCCTGGTACAAAAAAACGTTTTGGTCTCTGTAGCTAATTTCAACATTTATGATTCAGTTCAAACCAATTCAATTCAATTCAGTTCAATTCAGTTCAATTCAATTCAGTTCAGTTTGATTTGATTCAACTCAGTTCAATTTTATTTATAAAGCCCAATATCATAAATCACAATTTGTGAAAAACCCTTCAACAGGGAAAAAAAAAAATAAAAATTATATCACTATGACAACTGTAAGCGGGTTATTTTTTATATAACTCACCTGTTTACATTTTATTAAGTCATAAAGTTGTGCATTTTTAAGGGTGCTGCCCCTGCTCAGATATGGTCATTTTTGGCTGCAAAACAACGTGAAATGCCAAACTTGAGGCCTCGAAACGGCAGTCTACAGCCCAGTGGGTGACGTCATGGTAGCTACATCAATTATTTTATACAGTCTGTGGTGTACTCCTATCTTGCTAAGCTTGGGATTGTGCTTCCTAATAAAAAGAAAAGCTGAGATGTATAGACGTTATATCCAGTGAGGGCTGTAACAGGGTTAAGTTTGGCAGCACTGCTGAGAAGCTTGCCAATGTGACTTTTATGCTAAGCTCCTGACTACAGGTTACAAATCTGTAAGGCTTCCCTGTGGGCCGTGGGTCGAGGTGCTAGTTTTTCCTGCCACGGGAATCAATCACCTAATAGCTCTGAGTGGCTGCAGGCTGTGAGAGGCAGAGGTTAAGAGATTAACATATGCATGGATACCATAGAGCAGGGTGAGGGTGCTGTGGGGGAGAGAACGCTGTGATTTATGACAATACCGCATTAGATATCAGCTGCACTCATCATGGAAAGAAACAAAAAGAGGCGAATGAGCTCCTTCCTTCCTTCCTGTTACTGCACCCCCTCTCCTCCTGTTTTGTACTCACCCCATCTCTCTGTCTAACTCTGTCCTTCCTTTTATTACCTCTCCTCTCTCTCCATTCTCTGTCTCCGCAGAGTGTTCTTCTTGATCAAGCATAATTAGGTTTTTCTCCTTGCTCTAATAGGACAAAGCTACAGCTAGAGGTGATTTATGGCCAGACCATGCTTTAGCCAACCTGTGACGTCAGCGAGAGAGAGACAGTGTGTGTGTGTGTGTGTGTGTTGCTGTAAGTGGCATGGATGATGTTTTACTGGGCTGCAGCCACATACAGGTCTTCTTCAAGGGAAATTGAAGGCAATAACATCTGACATTGTAAGAGGTCATCTGGGCACACACACAGAAAGGCACATGAGAGCACACACACACATGGCATCGCTAATCATTTAAGTTTCCAGTAAAGGACTTCTCAGTTTTCTCACATGTTTCTCATGGAGATACATGCACACACTGCTGTAGATCCGCTCACATGGCTCCACAGAAGCACACTGGTGAAGGACTCTCGCAAAACCCTCTGAAACCAGAACGAGTCTTCACAAGGAAACTCTGCTGTCAGATCTGCTGATATCATATTGAAGGGATGGTAGTGGCCTTACTTTGCTCTTATTCTCTCTGACAGTCACTACCACGCTGCCTCTCTTTCTCTGAGAGCGAACTACGTGTCTTGCATACATACTCCAGCGCTCACCAGTGGTTTTTATGTTTTCCCTAAAGTGCTGCAGTGCCCGCAACCAACAGCACTACGATGTGTGGGCCAAACTGCGGGCCTCCTGCAGAGATACCTTTATGTGTTTGAACGAACACATTAAAGGTATCAGTGATGGGTTATGATACAAATGCCTCAACACTGGTGTTTAAGACACCATTAGAGCTCTCATTTATCTTCTCCACTCGCTGGCTCCTAATGTCTCCCAAAAGCCCCCTGCCTGACTCACAGCTGGGGCCCTGAAGGAGGTCTGCTCGGCACAGATCGTCATCACATTGACAGTAGACTTTGAGGAGTTTGCCTGCTGCCAAGAAAGCCCGCCACAAGAGTAACCTCATTAGATGCTGCTCAGATCCACAGATTAAAGATTAAATACCCCCCCGGGTGGACTTCACATCGTTGTCAATTAATTTTAACTCATCTGCTTGTGCTAAGTGATAGGCATTATATCACTTTGGCTTTTTGTTGAGTAAATCATGATAGCACTCTCAGGTCTGTATAATAAATATATAGCTTGTTCTTGCTTGGCATAAACACTGGAAACAGAAGGAAACTGGCCTGGCCACCTGACAGATGTGTCTGGTCCATAGACTGTAAAAAAATAATGGATGTAGCTACCATAACATCACCCATTGGTTTGTGGACTCCCATTTTGAACCCTTGAGTTTGGTATTTTGACTGTGGAACCAGAAGTGACCGTATTTGGACAGCAGGGTGGAGCTGTGGAGTAGAGAGGGGTGGATCTGACTGAGAAGTCAAGGACACTATCTGCAGACAGCCTGTCACTCAAAGCAGCCCGCCATTAATTATGTGTAACTTTAAGCCTTGATAAAACATAAACAGGTGAGTTATACATAAATTCATCCCCTTACAGTTTTAATAAATGGCAGACCAAAACTGTTTATTTCTGCTGTAAAGCTGGACACTTTAACATGAGGGTCTATGGGGATTGACTCGCTCCTGTAGCAAGCCTCAAGTGGACATTTAAGGAATTGTTTTGGCACTTCTATATTGGCCTAATTTTTCATTGACAATCAAAATTGTGTATTTGATAAGGGGCATCTTTGATATGATGACGGACAACTTGCAAAACCTTCATGCTTTATGCAAACTCCTAGGGGTGGAGGAAAAAAACCATACAGCATAGTATCACAATATTTTTGTGTGTATTGCCACAAAGTGCCAAGTATCAATTTTTAAAATTATTCAAATTATTAATATGACAAATACAATTAAACTGTAGCTAGCCTACTAGAATAATATAATAAATTGCTTTTTCAGTCCACTAGATACATTTAGCTGTGAAAAAATGGCTGAAGTGAAATGAACAGACTGAAAACTTATTAGATAAAACAGATGTTGACAAAGTTTTCCTTTGAGGACATAATTTACTGTTTAAAAAAGGTAACAAATCACAATATATTGCAATAAAATGTATCTCAATACTCAGCATATCACAACATATTCAAATTCGCAATAATATTGAATTGTGACTTAAGTATCGTGATAATATCGTATCGTGGATCCTCTGGTGATTCCCTCCCCTACAAACTACACAATGATGTAGTTGCACACTATGAGCATAAACCTAGCGTAGGAAAGAGGAGTGCGTTGAGGTCAAAATTTAAGTTGAAGTACTACTTTTAAATTATGATAGCAAAAACGGCAACTCTCGTTCTCAGACATATTGATGCCACACCACCACAGCTCATCTCTGCACCCTGTGGTTAGTGTTGCCAATTTGGTAACTTTCTCGCTAATTTAGTGAATTTTCAGACCCTTTACTTCTAACAAAAAAGTGACTAGCGACAAATTTAGCGACTTATTCAGGCCATTGAGGGAAAAGCAAGAAATATATTCAAGTATATTGTAAGTTCTCTCCTGCATCAGTGAACACTTGCCGCACTGTGGGAGTTCAGTTATAGTGAGTTTCTGTAGTTACGTTGGTGGTCTCGCTCACTGGATTGGAAGCGCAAGAAAGCTGTCATCTATCTATCTATCTATCTATCTATCTATCTATCTATCTATCTATCCAGTATCTGCGCCTGTGAGTAGTGTAGCACTGCTGAGTCAGTCATCCATAGACTTAGTCAATTATGTACATAATCCCTGTAATGAGATTTCCAATGGCATTGGTGAAACAGTAACCCTGAGGGGCAGGAAGCCACACTACATTTCTGTAGAAAAGGCAATCACTGCTGAACAACTCTTTCCCCTTCTCTCTCTGTTACTCTGTCTCTTTCTGTCTCTTTCTCTCTCTACTTCTCTCCCTCACCCTGAGTCACTCCAGACGTACGCACACTCAAACACACTCACACACACACACACACACACACACACACACACACACACACACACACACGGAGAAAGACAGGGAAGGAAATAAAGGGACTCAGAAGAAGCGGGGATACACAGAGACGAAGCGTCGTCTACGACAGTCATTACTCCTACTGCCCAACAAAAGACACTGAGAGTGAAAACCACTCATTGTTCATTTCCTTTTGTGTTCTTTGCTTTACATTTACTTTTTTTGTGCTTTCTACTGAGACATTTTCGTCTCTATGATCTCTCCTGGGGTGCATTTTTTACCACTTATGACGGATGCCCACCCCAATTTGAACATAGTTGTTTTTAGCTGTAGATGTGTATTGCTTTCAAAGCCGGATTTTAATATGCTGTGAGATTAATTCCAAGCAGCTCTTTTCTGGTATAACCATTAGCGTTAACCCCCTCCCCGCCCCCTGACTCCCCTCCTACGCCTGTTGATGGATAATGGTGCTATTCCCTTTGGAGCGGCATCTCCGTGAAGCACGATCTGTTGAGAAACGTGGGAGGTCACGACTGACACAGCAACCCCTTTCTGTGCTTCCTCCAAAAAATAAATAAATAAATAAATAAAAATTCTAAAAAATGAAGTCAGTGAGTGCACAAATACAGATCTACATAAACAGTACATCGCACATTTGTGATTGCATCCAGGCTGGTATGGTATGACAGTATATGTAAGCTTAAGTTCTTCTCTGAGTCACCAGCACAAGCATTCATTTATGTAACTTAAATTGCAAACAATAAACTCAGTAATTCCATGTTTGGAGGGAATAAATATTCTCCCACACATTTAAAACAATATTTTGAAATGAATGTCATAGTCAGTGCCACCCTTTTGAATTTAGTTACAAAATTTAAAGCTGTTTCTGTTTATGTAACTTGACAACAACAGATTAAATTCAAGTCTTCCATTATGTTTAACATTAAGGAGTCTTTATGTATATTCCTCTCTCCTTTCTCCACAATTATTTCGTGAAAATGTGTAAAAATAGTGCCCTTTCGTATAGGGAAAAGGATTATTTTTGATGTATAATTCTGTATGTATCTTCATGTGTTTACTTGTGTATACGTGTGGGTGGCATCATGGCATCATGTTAGTCGTGTCACTGTCATCTGTATGGTAATTCATGTGATTAATTTCTGTGCCTTTTCTCTGTCAATGCAATGTGCGTATGTGTGCATCTCCCCCTTTGTGAAAGTGCATAACTCTCTGCATGTGTGTGTGTAAATGCGTGTGCATGTGTGTGTATGTGTGTGCGTGTTACAATGATTAATGAGTCTGGGAGAGTGCCTGTGGGCTGAGATCAGGTGCAACAAGATTTAACTTAGCAGAAAACACTCAATTCCTTTCCTACACATTCAATTAACCCGTCCCCGTGCACTTCTCTTCAGCTCCCTCTGCAGAGCCATTCATCTCTGAGCTTACACATCACTCTGCTCCAGCCGCGGAGTGCCTCTCGTTTAAAAAGCCATCTTTTATTTGCAGCTCCTTTGTGCTCACAGTACAAGCTCCACACATAACATTCAGAATCAGCCTCTCGGATCAAGTGGCCCAGCCCCCCCTCTGATAAGGATATACAGTAGTTTCTACTCTCTACACCTAATATTATTTAGTCACTACTTCCTCAAAGCATCATTTGGAGACTTATTAAGTAATTATATTTGCTTTTATGATGCCCCTGTGAGCTGAAGATTGGTTAAATAGCCACCTGCTGGCTTCAAATGGTGCTCTGAGCATTAGTGTATAATTCATCAATTAGACACTTTGTGAATTGCACACTAGTCCAGGAACCAAACAGTTATGACCAGAGAGTTTAACTTTAGTGGTTTTCTTTGCTGAAAAATATATATTTTTTCAGGATCAGTTGAATGTTTTACATGATAGTAAGGCACCAATATATACTGTATCTTTATCAGCAAAATACAGTGAATGCTATTGTAGATATGGACCAAGTAAATGTAAATTAAATGGGAGTATTAGCCTGAATATTATCTTAATAATAAATAATACAAACAGTATTGTCATATGTTACAGTTAATATCAATTAGGAGTATTTTGGAGCTTAAAAAAGTCTGCAGGCACTTTGATTTGTGAGCTTTCAGATTGACATGAGTGCTTTAAAGCTGCCAAATACTTGTAAGAATCATGCCTGTTAACATGCCTTCAGTGATCATAACACAATGTGACTGCCGAGACACATTAGCGTTCACACCTGTATCTCCAGCCGATCACTTGTGTTCTGATTTCGCTACTGCCTGTCACTTACGCTAAAGGGTCAACTGACACTGCACAGTTATTGCATCCACACTCTGGCAGGATTATTGCTTGTCACGTTAGTGGTGTGTCTGTTCCAACACGTCTGGCAAAACGACAAATGGTCAGATAACAATTTTGTCCATCTTGTCATGTCGTCTTGTCAAGTTACAGAGCTGTGCCACCAAAACAACCAACATGTCCTGCACTGATGATGTATTTTCTTGTGGCGTGCTTGTCGGGGACACATCATTAGTGTTCATACTAAAAAAGATATGTGGTTAAATGTCACCCAGACAAGCTCGGCCAGTGGCTTGATCAAATTGCAATGCGTTTTGGTGATAGTTTAGACTTGTATTTAGTGCTGTCACCCAAGACGCAATAATACCAGGTATAAACAGGCTCAATATGCCAAACATGCATCAACAAAAAGACACTATTCAATAGGAATCAGTTAGGCATATACATCAAAAGCAATACATTGTCATCTAACATAGTGTTATCCATGAATGCATCAGTGTTTGTAATGGTGGTTTCTTAGAAGAAAATGTAGTTGAAGCACTTCTCTTATTTTGATCATGTATTCACTTCTTATTCTGCCATGTCTCCAATGTGACTGTCACTGGTGTTGTATGCCTCTGTTCACAGGTTGGAGTTTCAGTATGGGCTCAGCATACCAGTTTCACAGCTGGAGGGTGTTTGTGGTTGTCTGTGCCCTGCCCTGTGTGTGTGCTGTGGTGGCACTTACCTTCATGCCTGAGAGTCCCAGGTTCTACCTTGAGGTAACAGTATTTTCCTTATCTATTGCGACATAGATTTTAACACTGAAATAATTCTGATCATTTATAAATCTGCTGCAGCAGTTGTATCTTCAAGAATTCTGCGTCACAGTGCTGTGTCATTGTCACCAACTGTCCGTGCTTATCAGTTTTTACAGTCAGCATCTCTGGAAAAATACGTCAGAGTACTTGGACGTTTCCCATCAGATGTTTAATCAGATCAAAGAGTGTCAGTCCTCCAGGACTCTTGGATAAGGCCTTGAATGTATTTGCAAAATAGAAGCCTGGAGATCCATGACAGTGGCTTTGCTGCTGGATAATTACCCTTTGAAGTAAAATGAGTCACCGTTGTCGTGACTTTCATCATTCCGGCCCATCTTGGAAAAATCAAAAGAATATTATGTAGCCTACAGAACATTCAATCAAATGGACGTGTTGCTGTCCCTGAGTATAAGAAATCTGTGCTGATCCAGTGAAATTTTCTCTCTGTCTTTCACGCTCCCTCCTGTCAGGTGGGGAAGCATGATGAAGCCTGGATGATCCTCAAACAGATCCATGACACCAACATGAGAGCGCGTGGGCAACCGGAGAAAGTCTTCACTGTGAGTGTTTGTTTCTGCTGCGCGCTGTCTTGGCTGGGTTTCCTGACGCTTTAAAGAAGCAAAGAGGCTTATATTTTGCCACCTCTGGGACAGGTTTTAATGCTTTGACTGTGCGGGATCACATCTGAATTATGAAGGTTCTGAAAGCTGTTTTGTGTCGTTCAGGCTTACGGCTTCGTGAGCTGCGGATTGGGAAAGCCTCTTAGTCGACACATTTCTTGAATTTATCATTTACTGTAGTACACAATGTTTACATAGATATTTACTACAATTATCATGTGCTTTCAGTCTTGAAGTTAAAGATGATACAAGTAACACAAATAAGATCCATGATATGAAATGAATGTTGAATGCAGCACAGATGCACCAGTGGCATTTCCAGTAATTTTTCATAGTGGTGGCCAGATTGGGTGACTGAAGATCTTGGGGTGGAACACCAAAATCAAAAGCCATGACTGTATTTCAGGAATTTGATTATGCTGTTCAAGTGTGTAGGCTAGCTGAAAACTAGATCAGTATGGACAGTTACGGAATCACATACTGATACACTTTGATTTCCTTTTTATTATTACCAGTTATCTGTTGTGCATAGACAAATACCACTACAGTTAACATTCTGAGTTTCACAACAATCGTTATGTACCTATACATGTACCTTTTTCCAATTGCTTTTTTTTTCTCCTTACATTGGTTGTAAGAAGCAAAACATTTACTGAGAACAAGCCTTTTTAGTTTAGGGGACACTCGTGGGCACCCATAGAACCCATTTTCATTCAGATATCTTGAGGTGAGAGTTTAAAGGACCCCTTTGAAGATGACCATGGTGAGTTGTTTTCTTGCCAAAACTCTGGAGTGTTATTTAGCCTCCTTTCTGATAAGCAATGCCCATCTATCGTGACCTATGGTTGCCTTGGGTTTCTAGTTTCCCAGCACACTGCTACTTTTGCGGTAGCTTAAAAAAAAGGGCACCACAGCCTCTTAAAGCCATGGCCACCTCTTGCACTTATTTTCTGTCTTGATTACTCTTCCCAGGTAAACAGGATCAAGATCCCCAAACAGCTGGATGAATTGGTGGAAATGAATACAGAGTATGGCAACCCAGTTTCCAAGTTCTTCTTTAGGATAAAGGCTGAAATACATGGGGTAAATATTTGTCTTTTAATTTGATTGCCTTTCTTATTAATCATTTCTGTCCACTGCCTCTGCCCTTAGTTTGTCTGCTGATCACATGAAGTGTAATGCATCTCTTTCCTCCCTTTAGATCTATGTGAATCTCATGAAGTCCTTCAACTACCCCATGCGAGAGAACATGATGCGACTAGCCATAGTGTGGTTCACGCTGTCATTCGGGTGAGCTTCCTCCTGATGTCACAGAAAAATCAGACAAGGCTAATTGCTGTGGCCAGATAATAACACTGGGCAGTGTGGCTTGCGGCTGCACTGCATTTCTGTCATTTTGATCTCTGTGCTGTGCAGAAGTTGCGAGCTCTCGAAATCAGTCACAGTCTGTGGATCAATACTGGTCCATTGGCGTCTCAGGGGGAGTGAAAGCAGCCAAAGATTAAAAAAAAAAAAAAAAACACACTGAAAACACTCTAAAGTCAATGTCTTCTGGTTTTCTACTGTGTCCTGTTGTATCTTTCCATGTTTTTGTCAGATCTCAGTCTAAAATCAACAACAAATTAATTCTGATATCACTGTATCCTTCTGGTTGCAGGTATTATGGTCTGTCAGTCTGGTTCCCCGATGTCATCAAACACCTTCAGGCAGATGAATATGCCTCCAAAGTGAAGCTACACAACAATGAACGCATTGAAGACTTCACCTTCAACTTCACCCTGGAGAACCAGATACACAAAAATGGCCTCTTCATCAACGACAGGTAAGAGAAGTCGACTCACCAGCAGGCTTAATGGATGGCTGCACCATTATACTGTGATACAGTACTAAAAACAAAATGTAACTGTGCCTCTTCAGATTCATCAATATGAAGCTGAAGTCCTTCACCTTCATCGACTGTACCTTTCGTAACTGCTACTTTGACGATGTGACATCGGTGGGCTCCTTCTTCCGTAACTGTACTTTCATTGATGATTTCTTCTTCAACACAGGTGAGATATAAGGACTGAACATTTATATAGTTTTAATTTGAAGGAGTTTTTGATTGTGAGGAACAAAACATTTACTGGAAACAAATCTCGTGGGTACCCATAGAACCCATGAAGTGAGAGTTCAAGGGACTCCTTTGAAAATGCCAGTGCCAGTTGTTCCCTAACTAAAATTTGCTCTAGGGAGCAATTACTTGGTCCCTTTACAACAAGATATCCATACATGGTTGGTACCAATGGATGCCTTATGTTGTCTACTATCACTAGCTACCACTACCTCCATGCTACCTTAAAAAATGACTATGTCACAGTCTATGTTGTAAAAACAGTAAAGTCAGCCTCCACTTATTTTTGCCAGCAGGGGCCAGTGGGGGACCTGCAATTGTATCAGCGGGGCCATGGCTCCCCCTGGCTTCCTTTTGGGAGGGCCACTGTTTTTAAACTCTTACTTTGACCTGAATACACAGCCAGAGTGGCATGTTTTGTCATTTTTGATTTTACTGCGATGTGATTGGCTCTCTTTTATTATTACCATTTCTTTCTTGTTTGTATTCTTTGGGCAGACATCGATGACTCCAAGTTGATAGATGGCACAGAGGTGGTCAACAGCATGTTCACTCACAACAAGACAGGGTGCCAGATGACGTTTGACGATGACTACAGTGCCTACTGGGTTTACTTCATCAACTTCTTGGGGACTCTGGCTGTTCTGCCCGGCAACATCGTGTCCGCCCTTCTCATGGACAAAATCGGGCGTCTGTCCATGTTAGGTAAGAATGGAGGATGTGAGTGATGTCCATGTTTGTGTGTGCACTTGAGTAATTGGCTTTCACGTTGACTGTACGGGATGCAGGAATGACTCATGGTATGGATGTGGCATCCATCATCGAGTGTGAGAGGCAATTTCGATTAGGCCCTATAATTTACTTGAAGACTACTCACATGTCTTTAGTACTAACTCTTGCTTTCTCACTCATGCTCTGTGTGTGTTTGTACGTCCATCAGGTGGCTCCATGGTCCTTTCAGGCATAAGCTGTTTCTTCTTGTGGTTCGGCACCAGTGAGTCCATGATGATTTTCATGTTGTGCCTTTACAACGGTCTGAGCATCTCTGCCTGGAACTCCCTGGATGTGGTCACGACTGAGTCATTTCCTACTGTCAGGAGGTGAGAGCACAAACAATGGATGAGTGCATAATGGCTGACATTGTTACCAGCCGTGACAGCAGGGCTGTTATTGTTTTCACCTTGTGTGTGTGTGTGTGTCATTAAAGCTACTTTACAGTGCTTTGCCAGGTGTTTATATGCCTGTGTATCCATCTGTCTGTGGACAGATTTTGTGAGTGCAAGATTCAGTCATGAAACTTTACAGGAGCTTAGTTCAGATTAAAAAAATAGGCCGAGTTTTTGGATGGGTGTGGTCTTAGCAAGGGTGCTGACCCCTGCCCTACATTTGTTTTAAGTTGTGGATGGCTGTATCGTGGTTGGTGTTATCCCAACACAAAATGATCTCTAGTTTAGACTTTTTTATGGATTTACATTAAAAAGACAGTCACACACATAGAAACACACGCAGTTCTCTCTCTTCTCTACTTTTAACCTCCTTTTGTCCCTGACTTCTCTCCCCCCAGAGGAACAGGCTTTGGGTTCTGCAATGCTCTGTGTAAGATGGCTGCAGTCTTGGGGAACCTGATCTTTGGTTCGCTCGTCGGCATCACAAAGGCCATCCCCATCCTCATGGCCTCGTCTGTGCTCGTCGGGGGAGGCCTGGTTGCACTCCGTTTGCCCGACACCAGGGCGAATGTCCTCATGTAACACCAGCCTGGCATTCATCAGCTGGGATAAAACCTGGATAAATCCTGGGTGAATCCGAGAGGAAGCCTGGGAAGTGTTGAGCAAGGAGTGCAAACGGCTTGGTTCAAACATATCTTAACACTTTCAATCACATTTTGCTAACATACCTTAGATAAAGCTGGATAGCAACCTACACATGGTGTGTTTTACTTTCATCACACAGATCCAAATCAATAGATTCCTCGTTAGTCAACAGCTCAGCCTTTTTGTGAATGTATTGTCTGGAGATTTCACATGACAGAGCTGAGAGTTTGCATTGGTTTTGGTACTGAGACTTTGGTAGAGTTTTGTTCAGTGACTGGTCGCCCCCTCCAGCTGCAGTCATAACCTTGTGTAGAGTCACTGCATGGTTAAAAAACAAGGCTTTTAATATTGATACAGTCTTATTAAGACGAGCCAGATGGGGAGAAAAGTGAAAAACAAGCTGTAATGAGCACAGCCAACCTTCTGTGTGACAACGCAGGGAATAGATGATCAGACAGAGCGGACACACAACACAGCTGTATGACAGCTGGCTTGCCCACAAGACTCATGTACACAGGCCATGTTGTAGACAGCATGCAGAAAGCGTACACAAACACATAAAAAGCCACACATAGATACACTTCATGTGCAAACACATGTCCTAAAATAGACACTTTCTACATTTGCACCATACTGAACACACAATGCTGTTATTTGCTCAACATGACATTTGCTCAGACATCTGCAACCTTTTCAAAATAGATAACTCATGTATGACGCCAAGCCCTTTGTATTACCTACCCAACCAAGAATCAAAAAGGCCATATTGAAACACTGTACCAATAACTGTATGGTATGTTGAATCTGAGGCTGCTAATCTGAGTTTCTGCTTATTCTTTGTGTTATTGTCAAAGTTGGAATGATGGATTATTCGTGTCATCCAAATGTTGTTAAATCAGGTCCCCATCCACGTGTTGTGTTATTGTACAAAGGATCTCCGATGAGTTCTCCTTCTGATTTAGCTTTGTGTTGGATCTCGCTCGTGGCAGTGACGTTGATAATGACATGTCATGCTGCTTCCTTTTAAAAATACTGAATGGCCTTTTTTAAATGTGCCTCTCCTTAACTGGAGCAGTCTGCCCATAGTCGTGTGGTGTCCAAAGGTTATAAGGAACAGACTTAAACTGGATAGGAAGTTAAAAGATAAAATAATCATGCTATTTGTGTGTGTGTATGAGTGTGTATATATATATATGGGATATGTGGCCAATACAGTATTTTACTAGGGTGTGAATTCATTTTTGAACTAAACCCTTTTTATTTTTATTCTATTTTATTTTTTAATAAAGCTTTTATTTTGGTGCGATAAGCCTAATCTCCTCTTCCAATATGAATCATATGATCAAATGGTGTGAATACGAAGTAATAATGTACATAACAACCTCTTTATGAGGAATAATTGGTGCCACACATGATGAAAATGTCTCCTACGGAAAAAGTTTTGACCTTTCTTTCTTTTAAAAAAAAAATAATTTTGGAGAAATTCATAACTGAATGATAAATATGAGCTATGTCATTTCTTTGACTTACCATTTTTTTGCTAATATCTAATTTTGCCATAATCCCACACTTGAAATCCAGACCTACCTTGTACAAGTTATTATGTATCTTGTCTTTCAACATTGGAACCTCAACAATCTTCTGCTAAACATAATGATAATAAGACCATGTTACTATTTTCGAAGTGTTAAAATGAACTGATACTGACAATGTATATAT